TATAGGTTACTACACATAGTAGGCTCTTCGTAGCCTACTTGGCATATTCAAAAATCACTAAATGAAGTTCTGGCGTGACCTTATCGGGCAACCTACCCTCTATTTCGGAAGACGGGAAGAGCGTCGAGTGCAGACCACACACCACAAGTGACGACGGCCGAAAAAATGATTTTCTTCTTGGCCGTCGTCACTTGTGGTGTGTGGTCTGCACTTGGCGCTTCGCGTTTTCCGAAAAAGAGGATACACATAATGCGCCAAGTGTGTCTGCGTGTCTGCGTGCCCGTCTGTCACGCAATTCGGTACTACCTGACAAAACACCTGCAGAGTCTGGGTCAAGTTTAAGATGGGTGAAATATGTACATCAAGAACGTCTATAGAACTGATGCGACGGTATAGCACCAAGTGCGGCAGCCGTATGAGGCTGGCTCAATGGTCATGGCTGAGTCTTCTCTTTCATCGCATTAGAGGGATCCCTTGGCAAAATTAGTGTTCATGAGTATTTTTAGAGGTCTATTGGAACCTTATACGTAAACCTCTCCGGATTTAACAAGATTAAAGTTGTCTGCAGGATAAAAGTAGGTCTCTTCGGGAGAAAATGATGCTCTAGTGAAAACTGGCGGATATCTAGGCACCGCCTTCCTGCATGTGGCGAAGATTACTTATCAAAGATCATGGATGAGGTTTACGAAAACTGCAGTGCTCAGCTTACTTGACGGACTTATTAATAGGAGCTTTCATTATCACTTCATTGGTACGCTGAAGCGTCATCACGACAATAAAAATCCAATGATGGACGTCGAGTTCGATAGTTTCATTTCATAAATGCACTTATTTTCATGGGGATTCTAAAGTGGGAGAGTTAGGAGAGGCTCGAAAAATGAGCACGTCTCTTTAATGCTGATGTAGGTGATCTTGCTGATGAATGTCTTCTTCATTAAAAAAATGTTCAATCGAAAGTCGCGGTATTTTCTAGACAACCTTTTCTTCGTATCATTGGTACCTTCAAATTCAGATAGGGATGACGGCGAGAGCTCTCCATTATGTGTTCAAAATCGGCGACAGAAAGGCTTCGTATGAATTTTTCACGAAGGTCTTGCGTATGAAGGTGAGATGCTCATTTAGCTCTGAATTAATATATTTTGATTGCTTCCTGTTTTGCTGGGTTACCATTTATGCTCTACTTTCTAGGTGCTGAGGCACGAAGAATTTGAGGAAGGATGTAAAGCGGAATGTAACGGGTAAAACTTATCATTTGAACTTTTTTGTTGATATCCTCTACCATTTTTTAATTGTATACAGGCCTTACAATGGAAATGGAGTAAGACAATGGTGGGTTACGGAAGTGAAGACGATCACTTTGTTATTGAGTTGACTTACAACTACGAAATAGGCTCTTATCGCCTTGGTAATGACTTCATGGTGAGTTGCACAGCTTCTATTGATAGCAAATCTAAAAATATTGAGCAATTTGTGTGAAAAATGATGTTTAGGGAATGTTCATTGAATCTGATGATCTTCACAAGTCACTCGAAGGGCATCAGAATGTAAAAAAGCTGGATTGCGGTAAACTCCAAGTGAGATTTTACTGTTGTTTGAGTAGTGCAACATGCCCATTATCTGCTTTGAATGGACTTATGCCATAGCTTTCAACAATGAGCAGTCGCGACAGTTCTATAGAACACTTCTGAATGAAACACAGTGCTGCATTTGACAACTACCTTAAAATGGCAAGTGTTGAGCTATCGCTCCTGGGTAACGTCAGAAAAGGTCTCATTATGCAACGAAAAGTCTACGAATGACCAAATCACGTTGGCAATTGGCATTCCACATTGGCAATCAGCACTCTATTCGAGTGAAAAGTTTGATAGAATAATGACTTCTAGCGGACCGCTAAGGTCTGCTCTTTTTTTGAATTCAGAAAGATTCGCATTGAGCAGTGGTACACCAGCTTTTATTTTCACCCATTTTTTTCAGTTTTTTATTATATTTTTCCTCTTGGGTCCAATTCTAGCTCTAATATCTTTCTCGCGAAACTTACAAGTAAAGTTATTGTCGTTATTGCTATTGTTCAGATCACAGATCCTGATGGTCATTGGTTCCTTATATGTCCTGGAAAGGGGTCTCCCAAGGTGGTTAAAGTAAGCGTTCGAGTACAGGATCTCAAGAAAAGTGTTGGTAAGAACTTAGCCTTAGTTACTTGCCATCTGATGACTAACGAGTGATGTTTAGACTACTGGACCAATCAATTAGGGATGAAAGTTGTAGAAGAACGAGATGGAGGACGCACGACTATGAGTTTTGGAGAGGGTCAGGTTGGTTTATTTTGATTCTGGTGGAAGCATAGTTTCCTGTGGTAAAACAAAATCAAGTTTCCAGTGTCGTCTTGAAGTACGTCAACTTCCAAATGGTACTGCACTGGATAGAGCTAGCGCATATGGCCGCATAGCGTTCGCCTATCCAGATGAGAAGGTAGGTTACAAATCACTATACTAAGTTTTACGATAGATAGTTTCGATATATTTTCAGCTTTCTGAACTGCAAGAGAAAATGAAAGCCGCCAAATTACCTATTCTCAAAGAGCTCGTTACACTCGACACTCCAGGGAAAGCCAGCGTACAAGTCGTGATTCTGGCCGATCCTGTAAGTCCATTTCATTTCTCTTAGTATTGAGATTTAATTGAAAATCTGGTCCGTGCAGTCTGCTTGTCGGTCGATGCGGAACACCTCCTTGTGAAAAAGCTCTAACTCGGAGTGGTTTGGAAGTGCATACATCATCCTTATCATCTCCTCGCGGTCCCAGATTGAAGCGGAAGGGGTTATTTAGCCATTCTTTCACACGTACAGTGGTAATGCCACCAAATCCTTGCATGCTTTTATTTAAGGAAATTGACTTAGGCATGTTTCAACTGGAAAAGGCCCCGCGGTATTTTTCAATTTTTTTGGTGAAATTTAAGCTTTTTGCATTGCATTTTGCGGGTTGGCAGTCGCGCTACAGCTTTGTATTACACACCCTCAAAGCCCACATACCGTGTGACCGGAAGAAGGTTACAGTGCAATACGAAAATGACATTAATTCTAATTTATTCCAGGACAAGCATGAAATTTGCTTTGTTGGAGACAAAGGCTTCCGAGAACTCAGCAAAGTTGATCCAAAGGCAGATGAATTGATACGCAAAGAGATTGAGCAGGACAATAGCGTGAGCTGGTTCAAAGATGGGAAGAAAAAGGTCTGATTTGATGAATAATTTGTACATTCGTAATCTTCACCACATTCCTATTACTCCTACACTTGTGCTATCAGTATAAGTTTCAGTACAGTTTTAGTGAATTTAAGCCGATTCACACTCAGTTAGTGGCTCTTTTAACATTTTCATCATGTTACTAAATGCTCTGTAATTATTTGTATGAAATACGAAGTCAGAATAAATTTTGTATTGGATGCAGATGTGAAGATAAGCAACAATCACCTTCAAATTTTATTTTCCCCTACAAGGGCCTTTAGCCCTTCTAAGATCTACAATCAACTAAGGATTTTCAGAACGAAATGGATCATTCCAACCAAATAGGTTTCCAGAGAGAATTAGAAAGCTTGTCTGAAGAATGTCAGAAACAGCTTTCCCATAGCAGCAATCAGTACATACGGAAAGTCAAAGTTCTCAATAAATGAGTTTCTTTTCTTCGGCGGTTCCTTTTTCATTCACATATTTCGCCACATACGGACATGTTGGTTTTATTTTGTAGTTATTCTCAGCAGCGTACTTGAGGCCTTCCTAAAATCGCATTCATTAGAAAAATGCTCAGTATTGTGAAACTATAAAACCACAGGTGGAAGTGAGTTTATGTAGAATTCGCCAGACAACGTGGCTGAATTTCTAAAGCATACCTGAACAAGAATTTTAGCAACGCCTTTTCCTTGCTGATCTTGGAGGTGTTTCGGTGTGATCGAAATCAAGCACTCGTCCAGGAAGTTCACGATAGTGAAGCTTTGCTCGACTGCCGGTACCTAATATGTGGAAGAATAACAACACTACTTAAAAACAATCTAATCCGACTTCGGTTTGGGTTCAATTGCAGGAAATCAGGGAATAATGCTTGGATTGGAACTGATTTGTACAGAGAAGGGGCCCAAAATATGCGCTCGATTTCCAACTGAGAGTCTGGATATACTCCGTAATCGAATCTGTAATATTCTCTGTAATAAACAATCAGGCTCAGGCTTCTTCGCAACCTGCTTGATGTATAGCGGAAGTGACTCAACATGTGAGGACGCTTACCGTCAATTCTAATTAACTACGAGCTCGATTTGATTTGGACCCTGTGAGATTAGGTAGGGTTGGAGGGAAGGGCGATAGTATCGTGGACTTTTATCGATATTAATCGTGGACTCCCACTCCCGAAAGGATCACCATCTCATTTCGATCGTCCATTTTCAATTGCTTTCGAAACCATACATTCATTCTTAACAGGGTCACGTATAAATGGCCTCACTACCTGCATACCATTGCCAGCCGTTTTAAGGGGGAAGGGAGGGGAGGTGGGAGGAGGTTGAATACACCGTAAAAGTACTTTCTGCAAACGCGACGCAACTTTGAATTTCGCAGTGGCCGCAAAAATTACAATCCACTTAATTAATAAAGTTGCAGACTTACTGAAGGTTATAAAAAACTCCATAGCCTTCTTACAATGTTGCACTCGTAGAGCCATCTGAAAAGGCTCCGTAGTAGAAATTTTTGACTGGAGATCATAAATATGGTTCTTTCTTTCATTGGTGCCCAAGTACTGCCATCGCATATTCAACGATTCTATTGAAGAAAATGAGCACTCAAACTACACAATATTTATTAATTATTAAATATAAAGCTATCGCTG